GATTCTAGAAGTGAGATGTACCCTTTTACATCAGCTGTAGGACTGATGCCATTCCTGGACTTTCTACCAAAACCATGGGCTTCTAGAAAGCACATGTACATTGACCCCACGGTAGACTTCCATTTCATGTCATGATACCTAGTGGGGAGCTTGTCTGAGCGGATTGTGGTCTACTTGCTGTCGGAGATCCTTCCCACTTGTGCAGGCATCAGGTTTATAATCTTAAGATAGTGGTTCAGAATCCCACTAGAGTTATCACAGAGGGAGATGCTTGTTCTGGAAGCCATGGACAACTGTTACTTTAGCCACCAGATAAGAAGAGGTTTGCTGTCCTTTGGACTTGGTGTTCTGGAGGCAGACTTCACAGGAGTTGACCAGTGATGACAGGCTGTTTCAAAGGAGGAACAAGTCCAGTGATTGTGGCAGTGTGTTATACCTCTCTTTCTGTCTCCAGTTATTTCCTTCTCCCCAATTCCTTGTTTGTCAGTGAGAAGTTTGCCCCTTTCGAATACCAGTTAACAACAAACTTGAGGACTCAGGGACAGCTGAAGATAATTACATCTCATAGTATATGTGCTGGGTAGTACTTTTCAATGGAGCATACGTGGCTTCTGTCTGGCATGCAAATTTCATGTTAACATCATGAGGAACAGTGCAAAGCACAATTCCTGTAGATGGACATCTAAACCTCTGCTCCTGATATTGAATGTCACCTGGATCTAAAATGGATCCTTTCTACTGAGGCTCTCTTGCTCACAATTTCTCCTTGTCACCCGCAAGTTGATAAAACATCTGAATCTTTCCCTTCCCTGCCCTCTAGTCTATGTTTCTTATGCTGATAAAGCTTTTTCCTGTATGAAGGGCTTCGTTGCCTTATGGGACCTAAAATCATGTACCTTTGGTAACACTGCCCTCATTTACTGATAACTAGCTAGCTACTTACTTTTGGTGATGCTTTTAGAAAGTATTACTTCTGCTTTTAGTTGTTGGGTACTTTTTTCAGGCTTACTGGTAGGTCTTTGTGGTTTATTTAGTTTTACTTTATGTTAATATAGCTGTTTTTTCCCAGCTGAGATACCTAGAAAGACCTGTTTCAAGCTGGTTTCAAATATGCTTCCTGACTTCCATAAGCACTGTTGCTTCCCTCCCAAGTTGTACCTGAAATGCTGCTGTAGCCAATGCTTTTTTTTTTTCCTGTCCATGATGCCAAAGGTAGCTTTATTTTTTGTGTTGTTAGGACCTGGTACTTGGAATACCCAGTAGGTATTAATCACAAAAAGTTGGAAAGATGTAACTCTCTTTGCAGTGACTCTCCAGTGGGTAGCAGTTTCAGGCATCATAGACAAAAAGTTTGTGGAGACACTCTTGTTGTCTGAGCACATTGCCCTAGTGATACCATAAACAGAAGCTTGAGTTCTCACAAATGTCTGCATTTCTGGTATCTATCTGGAGGGTTTTTACATGTGTCTCATGGCTGATAGTGTTGGTCAGTAGCACATCCGAGGTTTCTGGAAAAGACTGTCTTGTCTGGAAGCATACAGAGCACATTATCTGATGATCTTAAAGGGTCTTTTCCAACCTAAATGATTCTGTGATTCTATCCCTTGTCATCCATTGTGTGAACATACTAATGACTGTCCTAAAGATGGCCAAGACTACTTGCATAGCAGTAATTGAAATGATCTAAGAGATCCACAGATATGTTCCTTTCTTGCCCTTTTTGCTTTTTCTGAAGTTACTTTTCACCAAGATTGACAGAAAACAATGTCGCAGTGTCAGATGCACTGTCTCTCAAACTCCTGCAGTAATCACGAGGAAGGTTGCCCTGCAGTTGTACCACTGTGAAGGCAAAAATGTCCCAAGCAGCAAGCTCTACCTGTAAACGCTGCAGTGTATCCAAATATGTTTAAAGTATACAACCTTGAGAATTTCTGTTGCTGCTTTAGTTACTGGTAACCTGTTTCGGGCTCAAAAATACGTAAAAGTATTTAATCAAAACCACTGGAAGTTGTTGAATGCACAGATACATCTCAAAGTATCGCAAAGGAACCCTCCTGTTTATTCCCTGCAGTTTTAGCATAAAACCTGAAGCACGTTTTCTCCAAGTGCAGAAACCGCTCATCGTGTTTTAATATCTGCTATTTATGCTGTAATTGGAGTATCTAATAAAATTTAATGCTTCTAACCAATATGTGAATTTAACATATTTAGTATCTCTAACTTCTAACAGCAAAACTAGATGTGCCCCCTAAACCTAAAAGAGCTCCCAAGACCAAGAAGGTGGAAACTGTAAACTCTGACTCAGATTCAGAATTCGGCATTCCAAAGAAGACTGCAGCACCCAAAGGTGAGAGTTCTGGCGTTGCGCTGTTCCATGCTCATGTCTGTGCTCTGTGTAACACCGGTTCACAATCACCTCTATAGGGAAGCAGAACTAGTGTCTTTAAAATGAGAACCACATTGATTTATTAGTAAATTAACTGCTAGTAGATTACTCATCCATGAGTCTTTTCTGTGACAAATAGGGTGTACTGAATTTTCTTGACGAACAACGCTTGAACTTTTTATCTGACCTTTGCTGTGGGGAATGTATTTAATAGTTCCAGCCCCCTCTTTTTTTGTTCCTCAATTCTAGTGGATACTGCTTATTTTCTTTGATCTGAGATTTTACAAGACAGTCAAATTCTGGCAGTAATTCTAGCCAGAAATCGCTACTTACTTTTAAAGCCATTCTTTGGTATCCCAGTTCTCAGTTGTCAGCAGTCCTCACAACACAGCACACTAAGCTGTGTAATCAGAGTTGTCTGTAAAGGATCTGCCAGTGTTGGTAGTTACCAGTAAATTTACTAAATAGTAAAGGTAAATTAATGCTGTGTAATCAGTACAGGAGGTGACTGAGGACTTGTACTTCATAAGTCTAGAAGTCATTGATCTAATGCAGTTTGTCCCTGTCTTAAGTTGGCAGCTTGAATTACTAGGGGGAATGGTAACCTTGGAAAGAGGTGTAAAAGTTTTAAAACTGAGAAAATACATTGTATTTTGAAGACGCTTGTGTTGTAAACTAAATTGGAACTTTAACATGTAGACATACTAGAGTAATTTCACTAGGTTTTTTTCAGTTTGCTGAACTCTGGAGTTTTAGTTAAAGAAAACAAAGTTAAATCGTATTCTCTCACCTAGGAAAAGGCCGAGGGGCAAAGAAAAGGAAAGCATCCAGTTCAGAAAATGAAGGTGAATACAACCCTGGGAAGAAAACACCCAAGTCAACACCAAGCAAGGTCAGTTCCATCTATGCTCTTTTCTCCTTGTAAAAAGAACATAAGGGGGATGACTTTATATAAAGGTGTGTGTTCTTATTATAGGTTGCTAATATGATAAAGGAAGTTTAGGTGTGTTTAGAAATCAGATATTAGAGAAGTCTTCCTTCACTTCTGAATATTAAAAGGAAAAATGTATGTAGCATCTCAACTGATTTGTCTTTTCTTTTCTAAAGAAATCCAAGAAAGCCGCTTTTGACCAGGATTCTGATGTGGAAATCTTTCAGTCAGGCTTTGCCTCCGAGACTGCCCCAAAGCCACGGACGGGCCGGGCTAGAAAAGAAGTTAAATATTTTGCAGAGTCTGATGAAGATGATGATTTTGATATGTTTAATTAAGTGCCCAAAGAGCACAAAAATGTTTTCCAACAAATAATCTTGTGTTGTCCTTTTGTCCCTTCTGTCGCAAACTTTTGTACATTTGACTTATTTTATGTGATAATGTAATTGATGGTTTTTATTATTGTGTGTAGGCATTTTAACATTTTGTTCTTACACCTACAGTTTTATGCTCTTTTTTACTCATTGAAATGTCATGTATTTGTCTGACTGGCTTGTAGAGATGTTCTAGACAGCTGTGCTAAAGCACATTTTAATTGTCATGGTTGCAAACAGCAAACCTGCTTTTTGAAATGAAGTTTAAACATTAAAAAATGGAAAACTACTCTGTGCGTGTGTGTAAAATCTGGACTAGAGGGACTACTTCTACACAATTGGGTTTTTTTAAAATAAATATATTTTATTCTTTGCCAGGAGACTCCATGGAAAAAGGTAAACAGTATATGAACATAGAAAGCATTGTTAAACAATCTCAATGTACAAACAGAGCCAGTGAAAGTACATCACAGACTTGCTAGAATATATAAAAAAAAAAATCCACTAGTGCTTTAAATGAAACCTAAGAAACTGACACTTTAAATCTGTTAACCATTCTACCACAGTTTTCACTCTGCTTCATGGTGATTTAACAAGGCCAAGAAGGCAGATTCTCTCCTTGTGTTTCTGGAAGTCCTAGCTGTACTTCCCTAGCACCTGGAAGGCTGGATAACCCAGCTAATTCCTGGCGGTCGATTCTTCAGGAAATACCCTAGACTTGCCACTTCAAAAGCTGTAAATGAGTCTGCTGGTTATCATCCCATGAAGTTTCCCTAATGGCTTGTGAACAAGTAAACAAAAAGATGGTAACACTAAAAAGTGTTTCTGCCTTGGAGGCTATCATTACTGTAGCAACGCAGTAGTTAATTGTGGAGCTAGGTCACCAGCCAGGTAAGAAACCACATCTTTAAATTTTAAAGTGACATTACCAGTGGAACAAATGACATCTGAATAACTGAGCGGGCAGTTAATGCTGATACTGATGTCTTTTCTGCTAGTGCAGTACTTTTTACAAGGAAGGAGATGCAAATTGAGGGCATCAAAGACAAGTTTTCATATTAAACTAAACCAGACGGTCCTTAAAACTTCCTTTTCTGGATGTGTAGAGTAGTCCATTTCATAGGGTTGGTGTCTTGATCATTTTAGGTATGAGAGACAAAAGGAAAGCACCAAACATCCAGTATGGAAAGTACAGCCATACAGTTGTATGTACAAAGTCATCAGAAATGCAACCAGAATTTAACTTTTGAGATCTGTCTTGTCACCATGCAGTCTTGAATGTTCAGAGGAGAAAACAGAAGCTTAACTATTTTTTGCATGAAATGGCTGATTTAGAGTTTCAAAAGTTTGCATTTTCTAGTTTTAAGAGTTTAAACAGCAAGGAGTATATATCGATACATATGAAAATTTCTTGGTCCTTGTTGAGTTTTTATCTATATATATATACATATATAGATATATATATTAAGTCCAGAAACTAAGCAGCAGTAAAAATGTTTTTCTTGCTTTTCATCCCTGTACATAAGGTATTAGGAATGTCTGAAGTAGCTGGAAAATGTCTTATTGCACCATAGGGGATTGACTGACACTGCTGTTATCCACTGAACTAGGCGAGATACTAGGACTGTGTTCTGCAGTATTTCCGTTTGAGGTGGGTGTCAGTGGTTCATGTCCTTCAGAGTTCTCCAACATTTCCTGAATAAGAGGTGGCATGGATCCAGGAATTTCCATTTTCAATGTAATGACACGTTCTGCACCTTTAAAAAAAACACACACACAAAAAGTCCGTTGCATTAGTACGATTCATACCATTTTCTTTTTGTTACAAGCAGCATCAGTAGTAATTTCAGGGTATGTTATTTTAATGATTTGGTGTATCCTACTCCTTGCATACAAAGCGATGTAAGTGACCTCCTTCATTCATTACAAGAAAAAGGAGTTAGATGAGTATTCCTTAACAGATTAATTTAGAATTATGACATAACAACTGATATTACAGTACAGGTAAATTGGATGAACTGCTGCTTTTCACAGAAGGAACCAAAATGACATTAAGTTATATTGAACAAGTGAATTAAACTGTGCTCACATAATGTCTTTATAAACTGGAAAACACAGTTTTTAGTGTGTACTGGATCTGCAAAGACTACAGAGTGACAAAAATTCTGGCTGATCTGTGTTGAATAGGCAAGGCAAATCCTGTAAGAGAATTGCAGTGATGTAACTCAGAATGTTTCTTTCCCATATAGAAAACTGAAATTAGAATCAGAATTTAACAAACCCTTGTTTTATAAAAGAATGAATTCAGGCAAAAGGATATGTTTTTTTGTGAAGCTGCCTTCTGTAGTTTTCAAGCATCTTCTCTTGTGCTAATTAACCACAAAAGTCCACAGAAACACTGATACTCTTTACATCTGACTGACTTAACTGAAGCAAACTCTTCAGTGTTTGGCCTTGTCACCTGTAACAATGGGTATTTTTATAGCGAGAAGTGCCTGTAAGATTAAACAAAATTACTATATCAATCCTGACTACACAGACTGGGAGCCAACAACTAATTTACTTTAGGGGGGAAAAAAAAAACCAAACACCACAGTGCTCTCAAGATGTGCTCAGGCTTCTTGAACAGGGCAGACATGGCGGGAGGGCTGTGCTAAGGGGCAGTTCACTCATCAGCTCGGGGCTCCCAGGCAGCGCTGTGCGTTGTAGTAGGATGGCAGGACTGGAAGCCTGTGTTTCAAAAGGGCCAAGACCCTGCCTGCCACTGGGCACTAAACTCTGTGGGACCTGCGTAGGGATTTAGTATGTTACTACAGACACAGGAAGCCTTAAGTGCTGGGTGGGCAAAACTTCTCAGTGAGAAGGGCCCAATGGGTATAGCAGGAGGCTCAGCTGCTGCAGCTGCTCTACGCTGCTGCTGCTAGCGATAGGCAAGTGGTGTGTTCAGAAAGCCCTTAACAGGCAGCGTAACACTAATACAGCTTCAGTGAGTACAATGTTGGGTTGTAAACAAGGGACAGAGATGAAGGGCTGAGAGTAAGTTAATAAACGTTTAGCTACTGAGTGGCAAGGACCATAAAGAGACGGGAATATTTTGGACTTGCACCTCAACTAACACGAGGATATACAGTAGAGATTCTGTTCCACACCGAGGCACGAATGTGCTTTATGTATATTGCTGCTGATGGGAAAAAGATTTTTCTTATCAGGACAACATCTGATAATTTATAGCCATAAACCCCAGCATTCAAATATCTGGTCTAACACCTTGCATAGGATTCCCAATCATCTTAAAAATTGAGTCTAATGGAAAAGGAATCTCTACTTTTTTGAAGTGAAGGAAGGCAAGAAGAGCCAGCAAAATTAAAGGGAAAATAGTCTGGTCATTGAAGACACATTCCAGAGGAGAGAAACTTTGGACACGTTCGGCTCATGTGTGCTGCTCCAAAGTATGTGCTGGAGAGAGCACACTGTCAGTCACAGTGGTAACCCCAGAGTGGGTGGGAGCATGTGGGTTCGTGCCTTCACCAAGGAGCTTCCAAAATTGTCTACAAAGGCAATGAGCAACCATCCAAGCGAATGATGATTAAGGAGTCTCTTAAACAACTGCTAGGGGCAAGCTCTATAATCAGAAAGAAATTAATGCAGAATTATGCTGAGAGCTTCTCTGAAAACCATCTGTAGTCAGAACAGCAATGATGAAGTGAATTCAGGCACGTTAAAGATCTGCTTCCTGATGTAATGGAGTGGGTCAGTCGCAGCATCAAGTGTTTGTGTGGTTATTCCAGTGTAGAGCCACAGTAATTTTTCAGGTCTTGCAAACATCCAATTTAATATTGGGATAAGACAACCCAGAAGACGGTCTCTTTCTTCAGTCCAACGAACATTTAATTCTTGTTACAATACTTCTAATGCTAGAGAAGAATGTAGTTGTATAAGGAACTCTAGTATAAGGAAACATTCTCAGTCTTTTCAGTTCATGCTTACTTTGGTAATTGTTTTCAGGGATCATGTACCACCAAAAGTCATTATCTTCTAAAGTACATCTCTTCAAATGAAACTCAAGACACACACACACCCCTCCCTCCAGGACATCACCCATCCTTTGGTATGGTATAGTTATACTCTATAAAACATTCATGACACAACTGAAGTTAAAAACTTATGTCAGAAAAGGAAGAAGAATCCTTTCTTCTGCATTGAACACAGAGCTGTGTTCCTCAGGAGCTCAAGAACTCTGGCAAAGAAGCAGGAAAGCAGAAATAGATTTCCCACACTCAAGAACAGTAAAATGAAAGGGCTCCCCTAAACATTTTTATAGCTCAGTAGTGTAGTCAGTTTATTTTGTCGATGCAGTTGGATGAAGCCTGCTTTACTTGAGGGTGAGCAGCAAACTTTACATAACCTGGCAAGTGGTTCCTTTTTAGGATACTTTTGTTTCCAGCTCTGGTGTTTTTCCTTTCTAAGTTACTCTTTTGGTACTAGTCAATCCAGTTAAATTGCTCACTTCTTTTAAAAACCTAGCTATAGCTTAATCTTTTAATTTTTAGATTTTTAAGTAAAACAGGTATATTTATTTGAGTGCTTCTGTTTTCTTGAAGTCTTCTCAAAAACCACATCAAATGAAATTAGTAATATTTTCAAAAGCATAAATCCAGCCTATAGCTACATAGGTACCTGTACATACAAGCTCATGTGCTTGCTTATTTATCAGCAGTAGCAAACCTCTAGTTCAGTAAGCCTAGCAAGAAGGTGGAGCTGCAGCAACCTCTGTAAAAAATAAGGATTGTAGCACTTCAGACTCTCTGTACTCAGACTCCTACATCTCTGATACAGCTCCCCAGCAGCCTGGAGGTGAACAGATATGAAACGGCTGGACACATCTCAAACTGGGGCTTGGGGAGATACAAGGGTACACAAACAAGAGGAGCACAGTCACCTTCGGAGCCACAGCACAGGGCAGAGCGCAGCGGTGGCCAACGAGCCGGCACAGCGCTGACTGTCCACTTGCCACCTCCAGAAGGGCCGCTCAGCCTCCCTCCCCTCACAGGCTGCACAAAGCGCTAAGTGGGGAACCTCTCTGGTGAAAGGAAAGCATTCCACTACAGCCGGGCTTTAGAGAATCCACCTGATAGCGCTTTGGCTGTCTGTGTTTCACATGGTCAATCAATCACACACAAGACTACACACAATGTTAAGACAAAATTGATCCACGTGTAAGCATGGTTAGTTTGGATTAGAAGTGCTCAATCTCCAAAATCCTGGATCACATCAGCTCTAAATCTTCAGTACATCAGACCACAGTTTAGGGGAATTTTGGATGCACAAGTGTTTTCTGCTGTCTGTAAACAGACTTTGGTTTTCTGAAAGCCATTAGTGACACAAAGTACATATTGACCCATACCCCCTTGTAAACATTAAACAAAGGTTTAATTCAGGGTTTTATCTTGTCTTAAAATGACTAACAGAGTTCATGCTAATGATTTGCTAATCTACTCATCCCTAAAACGTCATTTTCACTGTAAATTGCATGAAGAATGTAGCACCATGTATGTTCAAAGCAGAAACAATTTAACACGAGAGGCAAAGAAGAAGGGAAGAGAAAGGTCACAAGGACCTTTCTTAGATGTATTAAAAAAAATACAAACCCAGGTCTCTAGGCTAGTTTCCTCTGAAATGTAACACTGACACTATTGCTGAATTATTGGGAGACACTGTACCTTTTGCACTGATGCTGCGAAGATCTGTGATTTTCATTAAGATCTTTGGGAACATATGAGGCTTGTTGGGTCGTCTCTTTCGGATGTAAATTTTCAGTGCTTCAAGCAATGGTTCCTGAAGCTTATCCACTTTCATTGGTTCTTCAAGGTCCTGGCGATCTGTAGAAAAGTACCATAACACTTGTATGATTTAAATTTGCTTTTTTTTTAAAAAAAACAAACTCCAAATCACACAAGTTCCTCCATGTTCTTGTTTAGAACACCATGAATTTCATCTTTCTCTCCACTTACGACCCACACTCTGTAGTGAGTAATTCCATAGGAAAAGGATAAACCATGGCTTTCTGAAACTGAGATTCATTTTTCCTTGGTGACTGGAAAGGTTTATCATTTGAATGATCCAGAATTACCATCTCGCTCTTGTTCCTCCCTCTCCAAGGGGAAAACACCTTGCTGCAAACAGTTTTTCAGAATTAATTGTGTATGCATCACTGATACAAAGAGATTACAGCCAGTTCATACTAAAGTGAGTTACCGTCAGATATCAGCAGATGGCAGTGCTAGCTTGAGTGACAACAAACGTCCCCCCATAAACCAGGATGCACCAGCCACCTATGAATGACATCTCAGAACCCATCAATACTTTTGATGGGTTATGGTTAGAGACACATAAAATCGGAATGATTTTGTACTAAAAGGCCATCGTCAACAAAGACTGACTCTTGGTTTTTAAACATTCTCTAGTATTACCCGGTTTGTATTTCAACAAAACAGCCCAACTAAACAAGGTGTGTTTCTACTGCTAGTCCAGATTTTGCAGAGGAGGAGAGAGACTAGGCGATTAAAATAACAGAAATTTACAGGGGATTTTGGAAATTATCTGAGATTTCGCTTTTTGTAGTTTAAAACCGTGACTTTACCTGATTTTAGTTGACAGTGTCCCTTTCAAGTCGTCTTCAGCCCCCCCAATCATGGCATCAGTGCCACTATACTAATTTTGAAGTATAATCTTTTATTTTCTGAAGAAAGTTATCACCAATGAATTATATGTAAATGTAACTATATGCATATGCATGCAATTATATTTATAAGTAAAAGCTGCATAATAGGCATCTTGCCTTAACAAAGGTCACACATACAGGTACCCATATACCGCTTATAAAAAAAATGCAGCAGATTATATCCTATAGTCCTTCATCAGGCAAATAATAGTATCAGTTGCTTGTCAGAATGATTCAATTCATCTAAAAAAGCATAAATAATAAAACCAATAACTATGACCAGTGGAAAAAAACCCTTTAGTGGTAAAGGATTTATATAACATATATAATAATATTTTATACATATATGTATATTTTTATATGTGTGTTTTCATACAGGAAAGCAAAACAAGTAAAACGTAAATGGAGATCTTATGGTATCTGTCCTTATCAAACACATCCAAGTTTGTGCTGTACGATACCTCCACAGATTAAGCAGATGGCACTGAGGAGACCTGTTTCTGTATCATCCATTTCCAAAGGCAGGAGCTGATTGGCAAAGGTGAACACGAGATCAGTCAGTGGGCCAAATCCGGCATTGTGCATCTGAGTTCGGTTTAGGGTAAGGCCATCTGAAAAGGTCATGGTGTCTTGTTCTGGTGTGTATCTTGTGCAAATTCTAAGGATCTGTGGAAGGACAAGAGAAAACAAAACCTGAAGAATTCAATCCTTGAGAGGTTTGTTGCACTTTCTCGATGTGACCAAATGACCCAGTACGCAGTCATGCCAAAACAATCTGAAATCAAACACCAGTTTGTTTAGTTCTAGTAGCACCAAGTTTTTCTGGTACAGCAGAAATATACTCAACTGACTATGGGTAGTTTTTAGAACAGGAATATAAGAACAGAATTTTTTCCCCTAGTTATGAAATAATCAAAACTTCTATGCAATTCTCACCACTTATGTCACTAACATTACCATAATATTCACATAAATCACTCTCTAATTAGTATGCTATATGACCTAACTATAAAACGCTATCGCACTGCTGATCTGGTCCAGCAGGATCACAAAAATATCTCACCACGCATTGATTTTGGGCATCGGGTTTGCACGACAGTGCTTCTCTTGGTTGTGTCTTTGGTTAGGACAAAGCATCTCTGCAGTATCTCGTGTGAGTGAGCGTGGACAGCTGTGAGTTGGTGAAAGAGGCAGAACATAACTTGAGCTTTGGGGTGCCTTCCTTTCTTCTGGGACAGCAGATAGGCAGGGGGGTTGGAACTAGACAATCTTGAAGGTCCCATGGAACTCAAACTATTCTGTGATTCTATGAAAACACCACTATGAACACAAGCCCTGTGGGAGTGTTCCCTAGAGAGCACGGCAAAGCCCTCCATCTCCCCAGCAGCTGCAGTTACAGTCTCCACAGAGCGTTGCTTGTCTTGCCAGGCTGGGAGCTCTCTCCCGAGCAGATTATCAAATTTGAACCTCCATACGGTAGTGAGTTGGGCTGCCGGCAGCCCGGCCAGAAGCCTGAGGAGCTGGTCCAGCTTTTCTTCTTTAATGGTTGTTGTTCCTATCACTGAACCTCCTGACCAGCCTGCTGGCCTCCTGCCTTCCTCGAGGCTGGGGCAAAGCCTATTTTCCTGCTGCTGCTGGTGTCATTCACTCCTGCCCAAGCCCAGGCAGTGTTGGTTTTGGCAAGTTTGCTTGTATGCAGACAGCCACCCAGCACTGACCCCAGATGAAAGAGTGTTCGAGGGGAGGATGGGGATTCACACCTCTAACTGGACACAGAGGAATGCAAAGCACATGAATAAAACACCGAGGATGCTCTGCATTTTGTTAGTAAATGCCTCTGGGGTAACCGCAGCGTCAAGAGTGCTGTCACAGCGGAGGTGGCAGCACGGCCAGAGCAGGCGAATGCGTGAATGCTCTTGCCTCTCCAAGCAAATCCAGGATGTGTCCCATGACAGACTCTGTATGACGCGGGCTCATTTGTACAGCTGCTATTAATGAACACTGCCTCAAGGATCAAATAAAAGAGACGTCCATCACACTGACATATTTCTGTTATAGTTAGATAGATAGATAGATAGATAGATAGATAGATCGATCAATGCTTAATGTTTAAAATAATCAGGTGGGAGAAGGCTTATCCCTAAACTAAACTAAAATAAAACCTTGCAGAAGTCTAGCTGATTAGCTGAGCTAAGACTACAGCTGTATTTTTTCAGGGCTTGACTGTATTTCTGTCCCATACAGCCATCCTACTTGGTTTTAAAGATTCAACAGAAAAGATTTACACGAATGTAAGTGAGCACTGGGAGAATTTTAATTATTCCTATAGCTGCCGAAGCTCTGAGTCAGAGGCCCCAGCACTTGGCAGCTGACCAGTCTGGGCTTGGTTCTCCCACTTTCATCTTTGCCTGGCAACACTGCTCCAAATAAGCAGGGAGGAGAATGAGGACATGGCATGTAAGAGACCTACAGGGAAGCTTTTATTTCTCTTCTTAAATTCCTTGGTAAGAGACTTAATAGGGTCTATTTCTGCAAAAGGCTCTTCAACTATTTTCTTTCTCAGCAATAATCTTATCTCACATTGTGGGTATACATTGAAGCACTGCGACTCTGTGTGGTTGGACAGGCATGCTTCACATCATTCCCCTACCCCTGAATTAGAATAAGCTCTTGAAATTACTTAAATCAATGACCAAGAGAGGCACAAATACAAATGCACGACACTCAAATTCTTCACTGATCACAGATTCACCACTAACATAAATGATCCTAAAACGCTGCTAGTAACTCCAAAGGTTTTATGTAATAGCTAAAATGTATTTCAGGATTATTAACAGAAATTAACATTATAAAGCATGGCACCCTGTCAATACGAGACAGTACATTTACCATATTCTGTGCTGCCAGTAACCACTGGCAATTCTCTCCCCTCAGGTTTGCTTCTGGTTATCCTTTTAGATCATTAAAAGGATTGTACAGAAAGGAGAAGAAACATGCAGAGTTTGTTGTTTTCAAGAAAAGCAAGGTTTGAAAACTTTGAATATTTATTGGGAAACCCAAGAGCTACTTGGTTTACTTCTCTAAGGGCATGCAACAGAAGCTGGAGAGCAGCTCTTCCCATCTGAAGCCTGCACATAACAGTAGGTGCCTTCCAATAAGGGTGCATGGCCTCTGATGATCAGGTATCCAACTTTTGGAGGAACAGGGCTCTGTACTTCTTAAGTGGTACTGATTTTCCCTTAGCTCAGCTGGGGAGAAAGGCAGCCCCTTTTATTCCAGTGCTATTTTAATTGATGAGCCTTAGCAACGAGAGTTCCTCCCTCCACACCCTCAGGATTCCCAGCCCAACAAATTAAGTGGAGCTAAATTGGGCAACGCCGTGGTGTTTGCTGAAGGCTGCCTGCAGCTGCCCAGGCAGAGCTAGCAGATAGAGTTACCCCGCGTCCTCCCACCGAGGGCAAGTCTGGGTAGCAGCCTGGAGGGACTGGGGTGCCCCGCAGTGGTCATCCCAAACAATCCAGAGGCCGAACGCACGCCTCCTGCCACACAGCGGGCTGCTGGCTCCCCGGCTGCGAAGCTCTCTGTCCTCACCTCCCGGTGCCATAAACTCCACTCTGTTTGGGGGTGTGTGCTAGGGGTGCTCAGCAAAGACCTACCAGATCACCACCCCCCAGGGCTAACGCAGAGGAAGACTTCCAGGCTGGATCCTCATCGGGAAAGAATTTGGGGTTAGATTACTCAGCCTAGAGCCCCTGTGGGCATGCACAGAAAGAGACCTCCGGGAGCCCAGCAAAATTTGTAATTAAAACATAAAAGTCCTGTGGAATTTAGCTACTTCCAGGCTTAGGCTGTAAGTAGGACGGGTTTTTGCAAAAGGCAGACTTCAGGATTTCATACCTAAATGATGCTGTGCCAGCTGCCAACTGGAGGAGCCTGCAGTGGCTCTGCTGGGCACTGGCACAGCTGAAGCTCAACTATGTGTCTTCTGCAGTGTGCTTTGCTTGACCGCAGCAATCGGGTCTCAGGTTTCTCCTGCATTCCTTCGACATTATCCCACAACACACTGTTATTAAACTCCGAGACAGATCATTTGAAATGTTTCTTTTTTAAAAAATTTGTGTCCTTCATCAAGATCTGAGAAATGCCATGAATACTGCAGATCCACTGCTAAACCTTTCTCGGGCAAACTTCCAGTGTCAAAGTGAAGCTGATTTCAAGCTCATATTCACTGAAAAACATATGGGAAATGTCAGCACTTCAAAATAAGAAATCACGGTTTCTTTCTCCATTTTAAACTGAACCGCTGTCTAGAAGACATCCTCCTAAATGTCCTCAATGTTGTTTAGATTTTGCAATCAAGCCAAGTATTTTAGTTGTCACTCTGCTCTTAAATGCCACTTGCAGCCATAAATAAGGTTCTTGCTCATGATTAAAGGACCCTTTGTTTTAAGGAATATTTATATCTTAAAGCATCTGGGGTTCCTAAGAGCCAGTTACAAAGCGCAAAGCAAAACCCCTATGGGTTACACAAAACCAAAAACATCCAGAAAGTTGCATTTACAAAACTGTTGCTACCATAGAACTTTTATTCATTTTGAACAGATTAGTTAAGGCAAGCTGTTGGGTTTTTTTGTTTTGTTTTTGTTTTTTTTTTTTAAGAAATCCTGTTGTTAGATGCTAGCTGCCTTGCTGGCTGGGATAGTCTCCCAAGAGGAGAAACCCAAGCAGGTGACTCTGAAACAGTGAACAAATCTCCATGGTGCTGCTATAGCCCGTCAGCAAGTGTTGTTCCACACACACAAATGCCTTCCAAGCATTACCATGCAGGGTTTTACAACAGAAAGCAGAAATGACATTATTAAGGATTAGCGTTCAAGGACATCTTGGGTTTTTATCCACTGGATTTAAGACAGGCTGGACTCTGGACTCTTTCCACATTCAATTTGCCAGGGCTCAGTGAGGCTGTGGATGTTCGACTGCTGCCGGGCCAGTGTACCAGCACACAGAAGCACTCGCTTTTACAAGGGCTACTGACTGAATTTTAGTAATATTTATCCCTGAGACTTTTGGCACCAGAGGAGATATAAATTCCACCATCCTCAATTGGCGCCTTCAGCTGCCTTGTGAGGCTTGATGTTATTTCCCTTCTGGAGGTTTTGCTTGTTTGTATATAAAACAATTCCTTGGCACATACTGAGTGGAGTTTACTGAGCTCCTGGCACCATTTCCTTCGTCAGCCTGTCAAGGGGTTTAAGCATCCACGGCCACAGGAACCAACTGAGCAGAGCCTTCAGCAGGGTCTACAAATGCTTAAGACTCCCCGTAGCCCAGAAATGGCGCTGCTGGGTGGGCAGCAGTGAGCTGGGGTCCTACTGGCAGGGGAAGCCCAGCCACCCCACCTGGCTGGGCAGGGAGCCCCACACTGATTGTCCCCAGTGCCACGGCTCCAGGGACATGTCCAGGAGACTTCACAGCAGCGGGATCGTGAGCACACACTCGGCAGTGCTCACATGGCAGCCCACGGGCGGGCACTGGCAGTGGGTGCTCATCAGCAGGAAGGAAAATGGTGCTCCCACCAACTGCACCTCAGTGCGCCACAAAATAAAACGTTCAAAACATTCACAATTAGGAGAACTAGCTTGCTGGGAGCGGGGGGAGAATATGCGCTATTAAAGCACTGCTCCAAGTACTGAAGTTTAGCTTAAATAAAGATACAGAGCTGTACTGCAATTCCGATTATGTGCAGGTGATGTGGGTTTAAAGGATATGGGCATTTCACAGACAGTGTGCGCACTACGCATCACTGTGCTCGTGTAATTATCCCTTTTTCTTTTTTAGCAGCACATAAAATAGTCACATAAAGCTTGTGTAAATGTCGTGCAGGAATGTTAGGACTCTTCGTGGCAACCATTTCTTATCTGTTCCTGTTTTGGAAAAGCCTCAGCTCCTCCCTGCTATGGCTAGCTATGGCACTCACTATGCCCTGCTTGTTCAGATGTGTCACCCTCTGGCTTCGTGAAAAAAAAAAAAGCAGAGAACGAGCAGGTGATCTGGAATGACAGGTCTCAATAAAGTTTATAACTAGAGCTTGAAGGTTGCCACATGGCCACAAAGTAAAAGTGGTGAACTGGATTAAAGAATCAATCCTTTCTATCCATTAAGCAGTTGAAAAAAATCACCATTTACCACCTGCATCATTATTCTCTTTTTAATCTGGCAACTAGGTTTTTATTTAGTCACTTTGATCAAAGGCTGTGAAGTGCCTTTATCTAGGCACTTCAGATAAAACTGCTAACAGAAAAGCTACCCCTAAATACTTCATATTGCCTAGTCAGTGCTGGCAACACAAGCACCGAGTGAAGCTGCTGGGGGGACCCCATGCAACAGCTCTGCATGCTCCCGGGGTAAGTTCCCACTACACAGCCCAACGAAGAATGCCAGGAGCTTGGGGGATCCTGCACAATTAAAGAATTAGGGTATGCTTTTTTCCAGCAGCTAGGGAGCCAGGGCATGGCAGCAAGAAATAGAGGGCGGCAGCTTAAGGGTTGAAGTTTTAGGGGTAAAGAGCTTTGATGTGCAGATTCTTGCTATATCCTGACTCCTCCCCACCATTTTTGGGTAGTTCCTGTATTAACCACTTGTTACTGGTTACAAAAGCAATTCCTGTCTGGCAGAACACACTTGAGGCAATGCCATAGTTTATCAATTACTGTATGCCTGTCAGTGTAAGGGGAATGTAACTGTGTCTTATCAGGACAGAGCTGGTGACGACAGGCGCGCAATTGGTAATGAATGGCCCTGCCCCGCGGAGGGACCACACACAGTAACATGGGAGGGTCAAGTCCGAATGAGTACCTGGACGAAGAGGACAATGAGAGGTGACTCTCGAGCATGGCAGGACAACCTCAACCTTCCCTTTTTTATAGGCCATGGAATGATATCCCTCCCCCTCTCTCTCCTTCATCAACGTCTTCTAGAAGCAATTCTCAAAACAGCTTTTGACAGAACAAGAGGAAGAGGTCACAGCAGTTAATGTCCTCCTCAATACGATCCTGTTTGAAGCAATGTGCTTTTAGAAATTCCAAGATTAATTACTTCAAATTCCCTAGTTTAAACTCCTGTGTCATTCCAAATAATATATCTACAGTAGCCATCCAACAGCGAGCTTCTTGGCCATGCTTGGCTCAGTGAAGACCTGAAGGTCTGTGCTCAGAAGAAAACATTTAAAATATGTTTAAAACACGCTGCAAATACTAACTGTTTTACTGAAAGTTATTGTTACGACTGATAATAAGAAGTATATTTGCCACTAAAAGCCTGAAGACTCTATGGTCTTGATAAAGAAATGCTGAGATCCCAGAGGGCTCCTCTGAAAGTCAATGTCACAGAAACAACCAGAGACAAAGGGAGGGAAGACAGCTTGCCTTGACAAAGTGGCAAGGCAAGGTCTGGAGGAAAACTTCAGGCCCACCTGTATAGTTCCCTGCTGCAGGTTTAACACTTGCCTATTTAAAATTACATTAAAATCTGTACAGAGTCCACCACAGTGTCCACTTCCACAGGTGCCTGCAGCACTGGTAAAAGCAGGGACATCTGCATGCTCCAGGCTCCAAGCGCATCAGTTTCCCCTCTACAACCTGCAAAAACCTCACTTGAAGATTTTTATCTTGTTCTTCGAATTACCTCATGACCACAGGTACAGCACATTCCTAAAACATTATACAGTGGACTGGCTTTCTAGGCATCCTTTATACAGAGTATTATGTTTTGGAGGGAGGAGGAAGGCAAGAGAAACAGATCTCTCTTTGGTGTTAACAATAAGGAAGTTTTCCCAAAGTTGCACATATTTGAAGTTAGTGCCACGACACCAAAACATATCCCTCTTGCAATTCTTCTGAAATCCACAAACTGTAAGGACTTATTTTGAAAAGTATGCTCATCCCATGTAACACATGTATGTAGACATGTTGGAGTCCACTCATGACCGTTACCAGACTACCTGGCAAGTCCAAGTTTGCAACCATTAGGCCAGGGCAGTATTTGACACGCTCTTGCTGTCAGTGACAGTAAAAAGAGCAATAGAAGATACATTAGTAGCATAACAATGATATTAAAAGTACATACCAGTATATCCAGGCAGGCTGCTTTAAGTAGAGTTATCTGGTCTGCAATGGTCAAACTTGTAAAGCCTGGCAATCGCTTTGCAAATTCCACTATTTTAATAATGCACTTTGTTGCAAGTTCACTGAATTTGTCCCAAAGCCCGAGGTCCAGTCGAACCCGATGGTCTGCGCTGGAGTTCTGGAAAGACAGACAGAAGGCACCATAAATCAACAACATCCCTTTCAGTAAATGGTTTTCAAGGGAAAGAAACAATAACCAAGTATTGCTTCCAGAAGTGCTTTCTATTAACATTCCAGGCATTTTCTGCAGCTTGCTGTTGGGATGATGCTGGTTTTAAACTTGGATTAATCGCCTGAAAATTCCTTGGATATTTCTCTGTTACTTATGATTGCAGAGGCCATCTGTACAAGGAATACAAATGAACTTAAGCATTTCCAAATGCCACTATCATTATTCTTCCTTGCCATTATATAATAAGTGCATTGAGAGAGACAATTTACAGTTGTACCCCAGAAAATATAAATGAACAGTGGAAGAAGAATATCAGGTGCTCATATGGAAAAAGCAGCACAATATTTGGAACATAGTTTCACATACTTAAGGTCTTAGCAAATTAGTTCTACTTAATTTATCTGCTCTGTGGCTCTGCAAGAGTTTTACAGCTTTCTCAAGCTACAGTCTCCCATGAATTAAAGAGAATTTCTTTACACAATGTTAAGAAAAACACCATGTGCACTGATGAATGCTACGTGAGTATCTGTCGGTGCATCCAACATATACCATACTGTTTGAAGTGTTACAAGGACATTCAGGCTGCATCTTTCTGAAACTGTTTTCATATATTCCTGTATCTTAATTGAAAAGCCTGTAATTTCCTAGGATGTGTAGCAAATTTGTGTTGAGACCCCTTAATCCTTGAAAAAGTTAAACATGTCAGCCAGGAACCATCTGACTCAAAAGTCACAGTGATCTATTTCATGCTAGTCCAACAAAAAATGGTGTCATGGGGAGATCTGGTCAGCTGTTTCCAACCCACACGTGATTCCTGTGGGGTGACGAGAAATGGGTAACCAACAGAGCTCTGAAATACCTAAGGCCCCTCTCCTCCTTCCCTAGCATGCAGCATATTCCCCTTTTGTCAGCGTTTGATCCAATGCTGCTTAGGATGCAGCCAGCATGCTGGTTCGTCCCCCGCAATATATCATGAGCCGCCAAGTTGAGTGTGCGCTGCAGCTGCCTTCAGCATCTGGGCAATCTCCTCTTCACTGCAAGAGGAATTTTACACATAAAAATATGCTGGTAATGAATTTGCAAAAGGTGCTGAGCTGCAACCACAGAAAACCAAAGGTAGAGTTTGTCTCTCCTATGTCTCATATGAGCTTGTTGACTAACCAAGAGAGAGGCTTCTCCATAAAAAGGCCCACCCACTCCAAATAGGAATTTAAGGCAGGTAAGGGAAAATCCCCGCAGATGGTGGCTTTCTCCCCATCTGCAAGGGAATCCGATGTGATTATCTGCCTCAGTCTTAGCTGGTTAGTTAAAACATCAAATTAACTTTAAAATTTAAGTTAAATGAGAGGAGTCTCCACCTATGGCAGATAAATTGCCATGGAAAAGCATTCAATTTACACAGATTGCACTTTCTTGGAGGAAACATCTCTAGTGACCCTGCCACCATCACTGCTGATGGTGAGGATGTCCACCTCCTTGGAAACCTTTGAAACCATCAGCTTATCAGTTTTCTTCGGTTCACGGAAAGGACACAGGGCCTGAAGGGGTCAACGAGGGGACGTAGGGTGAGCTCAGCTTGGATGTGATGTTCTGTCACCCCCTCCCAGGGCTGCCTTTGCAGGCAGGAAGGGAAAAGCCCTGACGGGTGCCAAGGGTGTTGCCAGCCTGACACTCATGCTCACCTGCAACAGAGTGGAGATTCAAGCCAGTAGTATTTGCATTAGGCCCTTACTGTAAAAAAGAAATGCTAATCATGCTGAATAGTTTGAAGGTCCATATGTGCTCTTCCACGCTCCCTCTCTTTTCAAGGGATAAGAAATTAACTTCATAATTATTATTTGAATTTTTATTCTGGGAACTTCCTCTATTTTGTTTTGATTTTTTAAATGACAGAAGAAAAGATAGGAGAAAATGTCTTTATAATCCTAAACCTAAAGAATTGCCTTCAAAATGGTCTAAAACTAATGGGTTAACAGTCATTGTAATGCCCTTTGAAACATTTCTTTCGGCTACTGGAGTATGCATCCTTCAGATTTATTTTATTTCATCCTCAAGGACCTTGGTGAAATACAGTACATTGGAGGAAAAATAAGATCAAGATGTGCAGTCATTCAGGCTGTAATTAAATTTAATAGGCAGTTTATCCAGTTCATAGAAAGATGGCATAGCGGAGAGCTACACAAAGCAGAGCCTAAAGCAGGAAATCATTTTACAATAGGGTATCCATCTGGAAAAAAAGACGTTGCATGAAACCAGCAAGTGTGAACGAAATCTTCATCAGTATCATATGAGGTTACTTCATCATGCTGCAGTACCGGCAACGGGAAGTTTGACATGTCTTCTATTAAGAGTAATGCACGGCCGTCTTAACAAATGTAAATCTAACTCACTATTATGCAAACTGAAGAGAAGGGGCAGTTAATAAAATACAAAATAACCGGGTGTTTTATTACGCTGGGTGCCAGATTCCTCAGCATTGAAGCTAATGTGGTTTACACATTATCTCTGAGATGCTACAAATGGAAAGAGTTTTAACGTTTTATTCGGTAATGAATGCAGCCATAAGCATCACAGAAAATAGCTAGGTTTTTAGGAGTATTTCTGAATATGTAAAACCCAAACTGACTCAATATCAATGTATAGGTTGAACAATAAAACATGGGGTTAATAAAATGCATGTTAGAAACAGAAACCTTGATTAAATTTGCCTGGGGATCTCCTCTAACCATGCTGTGAAAAAGATGCAGACGCTATGACTTTTCCTGAATATTTTACTGAAGCGGTTTTTTTGGGTGTCTTTTCCAGGAGCAGTCTTGCATGTTTTTCAGGCCTTTGCACCAGTGCACATATGGTGGAACAATACTGTAATACACCCTAGTGGCATCTTTATCAGTGGAAAAGCCCAACCTTGCTATGAAATCCAATTAAACAGCCATTTTTGCCACATAAATTGATCCCATTTTTTCCATCATTTTTGTTTTTTTCATTACAGGCTGCTGTATCTCCACATTAACAATACGGGATGAGGTACTCGCAGAAACATATACAGTAGCAGAATCCCTACTGTCTTTAAAATCCACTTTACAAAGGAAACAAGGCTCACAGGGGCACTCTGCCCTAATCAGGAACACTTGCTATGCCTCTTTAGTAAAAGCAGCAATGCACTCCAGCTCCGGTGAGTTCACCAAGGACCACAGCACACATCTCCGCTCAGTCCCAGCACCAGGAGATAGATACATAGATACATAGATAGATATACAGAGAGATAGATATATTCCTCTGCAATGGCACAGAACAATAGGCATGTAATTTCTAAGCCCAGCACTTGCAAAGGGCAAAATGCCATGAAGATGCAAAACCTCTCCACTTCCAGCCAGCCAAGAGCAACGTGGGAGAACTTGCAGCAGAGGTCCGCAGAGTGAAAATTATTTTCTGTTTTACCCTCCCTTTATCACAAGGCTGGATGTTACACAGCTGTAGACTTACAAATAATACCAGTCTCAAGGGACAAGCAGTATAGTTACACTCAATTATACTATAAAGTATGACATCTCCAGAGAAATTACTAAGGCACTCTCTCTTACCTGGATGACAGTAATAAAACAGATCTATTTATGATGGACTTTTGAAATCCATTACGTTTAAACAGCTTGCTGATTCTCATCATAGGCAGAACTATACTTGCCACTGCCCACCAAATGCAACTGTTAAGTCAAATGACCCAGGGAATTTAATACGAGTGCTATTCTCCCATTATTTTAAGTAGACTTTTATTAACTATGCAAAGTGTGGTAATTATTACAGATAGGGACACTTTTTCTTTTCAAAGAGCATACGGATATAAAAAACCATAATTGAAAATGCTTCTCCAAAATAATTTTTGAACAGGTAAAAATACACAATGGGGGAAAAAATCACCACGTAACCTTTTCCTCTGGGAAATACAGTCTGCAGTGCTCCAGAGCAAGAGGAGCCAGATATGCAAGCCAAATGTCTGAACAGATTTTTTTATTACTGTATCTCTGCAAGGTCTTTTTTACTCCACTCTCTTAAAATTCTTTGCCCTTTTTAGCAACAAACAAAATAATGTTTTAAATCAGTCTGAATGATCACGTAACTGAAGGCACATGGGGGCCATGCTTGCAGAATGGTTTCTTCCGTCCACTGTCTCTATCGGTATGCAAGTGCAAAGCTCATGAAATTCAGGTGAATCCACATTGACTCAATACACTCACTTTTCAGCTCTTGCTTAAAAAATTAAATAAAAAACTCTAAGGTTACAAAAGCAATCTGTGGGCTCTGCAGCGTGAGCATGCCATGCTTCATGACTGCTAGCCTACAGAATCAGAATAAAAGCAGGAACTTTTGGTGATCTTCTATCCTTACTAGCTTGTTACTACTAAGAAAAGTAGAGTATCGTAGGCTTCTAGCTCCCCTTGGACTCTGCATTTAGAAAAAGGGATGAGTGCTCCTTGATTTTTTACTTCTGGTCTCTATTTCAAGTGTCTCAAAAGGCAAGATGATGCCTGAGCCCTCCTGTTTGATCAGCAGCCAGTGATACTGTCCAAGCACTGAAGCTGCACTCCTCCAACAGCTTCCACTTCCCAGATCCTCCTGGATCCTCCACCTCTGAAGAAAGGCTTCTGTCCTGCTCCTGGACTGATGGGCAGCTGGAGATGATGACAACTCTTACTCCAGCCCCAGCAGTACTCTGTCCCTTCCAGAGCTGGGCAGAGACAGTGTTCATAAAAATGAGCTCTTAATGCTGAATTCCCACCTAAAAAGCTGGAGTGGTTGCCAGACCACTGAGACGAGAAATTTAAACACTCCGCATTTCAGAGACTCACATTTCACAGACTGAGAAAGCAGCAAGAAGGCAGTATTTAGCATTGCTGCTATTAGTTTTGACAGAGCTGTTGAAAGAAGCTGTATTGGTCTCAAGGATTCAAGGTAAGTCAAAAATAACTCTTTCAGTAGAATTTTGTTATCGCAACTTGTATAGTTCCAAACCATGGCAAAGCAGCAGAGACTTCAGCCACATGCAACTAATTGCTGTGGACTTCCAACAGACCAACGACAAAACCAAGAAATCTCTTTCCCCAAGCTGTCCAATCTAGTCAGAGATACAAATGACTGATACCCAGCCTCTGAGAGTGTGGTCAGGTCACGGTTACTTGGGACGCACAGACAGACCACATTCATCTGTTCATTACTTAGATCCAGGTGCTCTCAGTACGGGCTCCGAAATTCCAACAGGGACATAAACTCACCATGAGGATCAGCAAGAACCCAAGGACAAAGGCATCAGTGGTGGGTGTGATATGCAACACGACCCTCTCCAATTTCATTCACTTGTATCATTTCAAGAGCTAAAATATTAGTAATACTTAAACATCCAATACGTAATACAAGCATATAGGTGCCCAGGTTTATCTTTCAACCCTCCAGGATCTTTGGCAATTGCCAGTACTGAGCAGTGCACTCTTCAAACTCAGAGGTTACACAGAAGTATGTACCAACACATTAATGTTGGGAGGTGTACAGATATATTGTTATTCTGGGATAGCCAAGCCATTTGCAAGGTAGCCTGTGAGCAATAAACTCTGGCATGCAGACCAGCCTGGCCACGCCTCCCAGCTGCATGCATACAACCACCTCTTCTGCAAGGCACAAACTCACTGTCTTTGAACTAGCAAGACTTTTTCCACACGTGTTCAGAAGCACTCTTGCGTTTGCAGGAGTGTGAGAGCCTGTTTGGAAGATTTTATTTGCTCCAACATAAGGATGCAACCACATATGTGGAGAGGAGGGGTGGAGGGCATTAACCCAGGAATTTCCTTGAAAAGACACACTATGGATCTCACCATTTCCAGCTTTGCCTTTGGTTATGTCACCAGCTGACTGCTTTCGAGCTTCCAGCCCCGCATGCTGCGCTAGTCCCTGGAGGTCTGCCTGTGCAATATTTACCAGCATGCCTAAGCTGACTGTATTGACTACATCTCACCCTAGCAGGGCAAGGATGAGAGAAGCTTGCAGAGGACACACACCTCCCCTAGTACTAACTATTTTACGTGGCTCTCAAAATTAAACGTGAAAAATGTTTGTGAAAATACTTTCAGCAGCATGAAAAGCATGCCTTTTTCTAACATCACACCATATATGTTTGCTTTCTTGCACTTAAATACAAAGTCTTACACGTAGACCTGAGAGTTTTGAACCTTGCACTTTGTAAATAGGTGAGTATGCCATAAACCAGCACCCTGCTCGCTAAAACAGTAAATATCGATGCCACACGGGGATTTGCCTAGATCACCCTTTGAGAAACCTAACATTTGTTTCAGTAGCAGAGCATTTACTCAAAACAGGGAGCAATCCAGTGACAGAGGTATTTCACCTGGCTTGGTCCCAGATCTCCATCTGGGGCTGGAGGACAAGGACTGTGGAGGCAGGGGCCTCCTTGCCCCAGCCATGCCACTCCTGAACTCTTGGTCCGGGTAGCGAGAGTGCACGTTCAACTACTTCAGGACCTTCTGCACATCCCTCTGAAACAGCCAGTGCTGCTGCAACTGACAGCAAGACCAGACCCAGCAAAATCATTCCTCTACCAACAAGACATTACCTAACAGTTATTTTTTAGTGTCTCTTATATTACTGTATTTGCAAACTTCACATTGAATTTTCTCTCTGAAATCAATAAATATCACGGACCTTCCCTGTATTTAGCAACATATATATACACAGAAAAAAATTCATCCCCTGACTCATTCTCTGGAGAAATTCCCACAGTACTGTACTTCTTGTTGGGTAGCTGATTTTTCTTTTCTAAAAGCAGCAGAAGTTTTTGCTGTTTTGTGGTATTTCATTAGACTGGAAAAGGAATAAACTGGAAATGAGCATTTTGGAAATTGGTTTGTTTAGACATTTCGTATTTTCTTTGACCTTGGTAGCTTTGGGATGGTCACCAGTAACCCAAGCAGCATTTAAGAACTCTCTACACCTGCAAAGTTGTAATCCGCTGACGCACAAGCAGAGATCACCTCTTTGGAAGCCAACAAATTTCTAATGAATGATGACATGTAACTGACTCATGGACTCCAAGCTTGTCTCTTGGCTGGACTAATCCTTCAGTCTCTCACAATACCGCTAAGTAATGCTTACAGTTAAGGGCAACTTCTCTTCTTCAGCCTGCATTTGCAGGCGTACCTGTTTGTTTTTTTTTTCATGACTCCTAAGGAGGTGCAAGGAGTGCATCTACTTCTGCATCTATTTAAAATGTCTGAAGCCTCCAATGCAAAACTCACATCATCCAGACATATCCAGAACATGTGTGTCACAAACCATACTTACCGTAGTGTATTTTCCCAGCTGGCAGAGTGAGGGGAAGGTTTCCTGGTGAGCTTTTCGGATCTTCTCAGTGAGATCATCCAACTCTGCTGTCATTTCATAGTTTTCTGTGGACTCCTGCTTTGAAGGTTCCTTCTTCTTTTTGTTCCTATCATTTCTGACAGCTATAGAAAAACCAGAGACACAGATCACATGTGGTTATACAGATCACCTCATATTGCTTCTGCTGCTCTACTTCAAAACACTGCAAAATGCTTTTACTCTAAACATAAATTATTTTAAATGGAGATTAAAATGTTATATGCATAGAGAATACTAATGCAAGCTTAATTACTTAACTGTAAGAATTAAATTTAATAGGTAATGACGAAACCAAACTTTCAGAGGTGTTTGTTGTGGACATGCCACCACACTCCCATAGTATCTACCTTCCAAGAAAGTCTACTGCAACTTCACATGTACTGTGTCTCAGTAATTTTGTGATGTGGGATTTTTTTCATTGTATCATTACAGCTGTGCATGTTGAACGGCAAAATCGTCTGCAGTGATGCAGCTGACATTTTACTGGATGTGAACAACACTAAAAAAAGACAGCAACTGTGTCTCTTCTTAAATTTATCAGTATGGAAGATAACAAACCCCATACTAATACGAACTCCATCAAGCAGAAGTTATTTAAAGGAAAAGTTAAATGTGAAAACAGTAAATGAAAGAAACTGAAACACATTTAACTCAAGATCTGAAGATCAAAGGACAAGCACAAACACTTGAAAGAGTAAAAATGGCAGTGAAGCTTTCTAAAGTTGCTTGCCATCTGCTCCTGCACTCAAATCAGCCTTCTACCTTCCCCCGGCCGTGGGGGATTACTGGAAATATGCATTGTGCAGCACTGGTGCTGTAATTGATTTCCCACATATTTGTGTTTTGTAATAAAATATGACAGCTGCTCCATCAACATGCTACTCTTTGTTCTTTTAATGAAAATAGCTTAATTTTACAAAACGTGCCCAGGAGATGAGTCTATGACCGCAGTATTGCCAGTACTTGTGAATTTTATCAAGAGGCTTGTTGTTAGCTAAAGCTAACATCTTAAACATAACCAGATGCATAAGGCTTTACAACAAAGCCAAGCAAAATCAATCCCTCTCCCCAAAGACTCCGTGTCAATATTAAACACCCCAAATACTAAACGTTACTGGACAAATAAAACCAATCCTAACATTCACTCATGTTCAAAACTTCATGATATTTAAAACAAGACCCCAAACTCTGAGGGTGTGGCTGGTGGGTTTGGCACACATGAGGATGGCCAGGGATTTTGGATGGCCAAAGATCTGCTGATTCTCATTTGTACTGTCCCACCCCAGAAATCACATCTATCTGTGCTGTGGGGAGGGAAGCACAGCAAAATGGGCAGATGCCCAGAGCCACCTCCATGCCAGCTTTTTTCCCCTGTGGGTTCCCCAGGGTCATCTCCACATCTTCTGTGGTTGCTTCCTACATGCCTGTGAACCCCGAATAATCACAAAGAGCAGACAAATGGTGAATGTTTCAGGAGGAAGAAAAGGTGTCAATCCAGTCTCACCTACAGTATCTGTTCAAGAACAAGTGATGCACAGTTGGATTCATTTTCCTCTGTGCATCCTTTCTGAGAGAAAATTAAGAGTGACATGGAAAAATAGTGGCATGGGAAAGCAGCAGAGGCAGGGGCATCTACAGAAATAATGTAATATGTGTAACAGAAAACAAGGGATAGATGCAGCTAATACTGCTGCTCCTTCACAAGGCCATTAGGCACATACTCCATGCAATGAACAGCTCTGGTTTTCTCACTAAAGGTCTGACTTTGCAACTGAGAGAACTCTGACCCTGATCCAGCAGATATTTTAAGTACAAACTTGACTTTAACTGTGTGAACAGACCTGCATCGAAATCAGTTATGTGCTTTGCTGGATCAGTGCTGAGACACTAAGCATACCACCAGATTAAAGCCTCATCTTGAACACCATCAATTCTAGCATCTGGAGTCATACAGCTGGCCAGGAAGACTGAACTGAAAAGGTACCTTCTTGTGAAGGTTCAATGCTACCAGTGTAGTCAGGTTTAGGAGGGTGGGTTGGATTCCCCCTTTTCCTTTTACAAATATTCTTTTAAAGCCAATGCCCTGATTTGTTCTCTGGATCCCAGGGCAGAGCAAGTATGGTCTCTTGCACCAAAACACCATCCAGGCCTGACACATACATCTCGAGTGCTCCAAACTGCCACTGAACTCCAGAAGTAGATCCTAATTGCTGCTGTACTCGGGAGATAAAAGACCTCCTTAGAAAACTATGTAAACTCCTACACAACCGCAAAGAGCAATAAGCCTTTGTAATAAAGCCCCATTTACTTATAGCTCTCCGAGCTGATTGACAAATTTGCCAAACAGGTGGCCTCAGCAGCTACTTATCTCAATAGCTTTGAACTCCTTGTGGAAGACAAACACATTATTTAGGCCAGGCTTCAGGGCAGCTGCCAAGAGCTCCCAAAGACCAGGAGATAACTCCAGCAGGAACCACACCACACTCCCGTGCCACCCTGGCACAGCTCCCTCTGCAGCTGTACCTGAAGTCCCTTCCCCTCCAAAGGCCACCTGAGGGACAGCTGCTGGTCAGTCCACATCACCAAACTGGCCCAGTTCTGTCCTCTTTCTTTTTGGGCACAAATCACTAAAGGGTAGGAAGGGGAGAATTAACACGTCCTGAAAACTAAGAATAGTTTTGTTCAGTGTTACCTTCTTTTTTTCTACCATTCTGATAGCCTTTATAATAACAATAAAACCTGAATGACATTTATCTTCTTGCTTTATGTATACTTTTTATATTTCCTATATTTGTCTTCGCTAAGGTTGCATCAGACATGGCAGCGTTTCTATATTCCCTGTAAGATAACACAATAAAGTGCTGACATATAACACCCAGGGTCTAAAAATATAAAGAATCTCAGTAACGTTGAACTATTACGCAGATTCAACTACAACTATAATTCAACACCAAAAAAAAAAAAGAGAAAAAGATTAAGACAACTCTATGTTTAAAAGAGTTAAATAAAAACATATAAATGCACACATTTACCCAGTAAATTTAAAAGCCATCATTGCTCCGGGAACAGGAACTGTCACACCGCATGTGGGAAGGGGTTTGGATTACAGCTTATGCTTATATTACATAAATCACACCTTTTTGTATCTTGATCTTTACATGCATATGATCACATCAATCCCCGATGTAATTCCACTGCCTTTTAATGATGATACGCCAGTGATGAATCTGTGTCACAGTTAATGCCACCGTAGAAACCTCAGGTTATGAATTTCATTACTTGTGCACTAAATTCTGACTCGATGGCTGCATTACTTAGGAGCTCCCGACAGGGGACAGTATGGAAGCTCTCTTGCCCTGTGAGAAATACTGGAAGTTAAAAAAGATAAGAAAACAAATGTGGTGGTGGTGTCGGGAAAGAGAATGAAAAAAGGTGTATCTTGATATGTGAGGAAGCCCCATCTTGGCGCTGCTCGGACGGCTGAGCGACGCACACCCACGCCTGAGCACGTCTGCTCCGATCCATCTTCCGATGACAGCTTCCCTGTCCCCTCGACACACGCGCCAGGACTTGCACTTCCACGCCCAGAAACCTCCAGGCAGCCGCGGCAGGGTTCGCAAGCTGGCAAAGGCACTTTCTGTGGCCTTCGCTTTAAGGACCAGACCCTTCCCTCAAACATTCATCCCCCTAACCTGATGCAACATCCTATTTTGTCCCATCCAGTGGGTTCTCTTCACCCCAGGTTTGCCAGTGCTTTCCTTAGCCTCAGACATGTTTTCCCTCTTCTACGTGAAGCACTGGGCAGGGCACAAAAGCTGCAGGCAGGAAGAATGGATTTTTCAGGAAAAGCAGAGTCTGCTGAAGATGAAACTAAGTATAGGAAAGACCCAGTTTCTCTCAGAGGACCCCAATGCTCTCATTTAGCAACCATGCAGCAATTCTCCTGCTTGAGCAGGATCATATCAAGCATGTCGTAATGCTGGGAACCATCCAGTCTTAAACGCAAGCCCCTCAGGTCCATGAAACTTAGTCATCTCTTGGCCTAAGAAGAGTCTGAGATCCAGCCCAAGAGATTTAGGCAGTTTGTAGATAATCAGGTAAAATTACAGAACAGTGAGTGTTTGTACTCCCCTTTGTCAAAGGTGGCACAAAAGTGTCCAGGGCAGAAGAATCTGCAGCTCTCAACGCATTTTTTCCAATTACTTGTATAACCTGTGCTTCCCCAGATGCCCAGAAGATAGTTAGACAGCACCTTTAATACATTATAATGATTAATCAGCTATAAATTCAGGACTTGAAACTCTATCACTGCAGTTTTGTCTCTTGGAGATCCCCGTGACCTTTGAAGAGCTCTGTATACTAGTTAACTGGTTTTGTTCCTGTAGCGACAACTACTAGTGTTTCCAGTTAGCTCACATTCCTGTAAAACCACACTTCTCTTGTCCCTAAATATTTTGGAAGTTACTCGTTAAACTAACAAATCTCAAAAGCACCATAAAGCACGCTAAGCAAGTCAGTAATTGCACAGCACTGGGCTCAAGGTAGGTTTTCAAAAAGACTCCTTTTGTCTGCGAATGCTGATGAGAGAGAAACGAGAGGTGAGCTGAGGCAAGACCGCCGCAGACCTGCCAACTCTCCTCTCTGGGCAGAGGCTCGCTCTCCCGCCTGCTCTCCTGCGTCTCGGGGAGCCATCTATCCCTTGTTGAACGCCAGGCAGCCTGGGCTGCCCAACACAGCAGGCAAATGGTGCCACACATGGGCAGTGGGGCTGATGTTCAGCACTGTGCCCAGGGCTTCCAGGAGCACCAAACTGCTTGCTAGGGTGGAAACCCACAAGTCTTGCACAGCTCCGTTACACTCTGACTTCTCCAATTCCAGCTGCTAAAAATTTCTAATTCTGGCAGAAGTTAGCAGCTGTGGACAATTTCAGTCAAATATGCAAAACATCTACCTATTGCCGCTGCCAAGTTTGATCCGTCAGGATAAATGACCCACACATACCACGCGTCACACTTCCCATCACCATTCAATAAACTGCTTTCATGCTAACAAATGGCAGACTGTGAGGATGTCTTTCACAAGT